TAAAAATTAAAGTAATTATATTATTTTATTCCTATTACTTCTATTACTTTATTATTACTGTCTAAAAAGAATTTAATAGTACTAGTAGTATAAAAAAATTTATAAAATATTTATAGTATTAATAATTAAAATCGATGAACTATTATTCATAAGTACATTGATTATGTAAAACGTAATTTCTGGAAAACTCCGTGAATATGATACATTTACGGGAACTTGGATTATTTTCGATGTTTGAGACTATAAATTTCGTGAATATGATACATTTACGGAAATAACATGGAATAAAAAACACGGAATAAATTTTTATAGGGGTAATAAATTGTCTCTAGTAAATTATTATATATTTAGATTACCCTGTATAAGTTAATTTTGAGTTGTATTACTGTAACGTGTAGCATGCCTCCGTAATTTATTACAGATTGTTATTCTTAAAATAGATTGGGTTTAACCATTAATGAATGTTGATCATGTTGATCATGAAAATTAAACAATAGGAATGTCTCATGTTAAAATTTAATATAATGATGCTCTTAACAATACATTTTTTATGCTGTGTTACCGCTTCTCTATCATTGTTTTACGCTATATTAAGACATAAAAGGAATAATTCATTTATTTATTGCGCCAATTTGTATCCAGTAATCATAGAAAGATAAAACATAGCAGAGTGATAGAAAAGGAGTAATAATACATGTCAAAAATTGTCGGCTTTTCTGCCAGTAGTGATATCATAATTTTATCACTTAAAACTATGATAAATTTAATAAATTTAATATTTTGTTCATTATATAGCTTGTCTCCAGAATATTATTTGTGTGCATAATAATTTACTATATGTTTCAAGTTCATTGATCTCAGTGTGAAGCAAATGGGCTGTTGCTAGTATGTATTAAAAAAATAAAAATTAATTATGTATCTAATTGTATGATCCAAGCTAATGTTACACATTTTTTTTATATAATCTTAAATTTAAATTTTGATGAATGATCATTATCATTTTCATACAATTATGTTCATCATAAATTAGGCATGTAATGGATGTTTCACTAGTAACTCCTTTCAAACACTTGTTTTTGTTGGACAATATTTTTAGTGTCAGAAATTTTTCGGCATATTTGTTGCACATTTTTTTACACATGTATAAAACAATGCAGATCGTTTTTGAAATACAAATTTGGTAGTATAATTAATATATATTTTTTTGAAGCACATTTTAAACATTTGATTAAAAGAAAAGTTATTAATAGTAGTTGATAATAAATCAAGATTACAATGACAAATAACATATATAAATGTTCTGTAATCCCTCTGAGTAAAAATTTAAAATTTTTCAAGTCTCTAAATTTATTTCCATATTTTTCATACACATTTTCCCACAAGTCTCTAATAATCAAATCTCTTAATTTATTTCCACATTTTCATACACATTTTCCCACCAAGTCTCTAATAAAAATGTTAAAAATGTTCAATTTAGCAAAGATGTTGATCATCTTTATATATTTAACCTCCATCTGTTGCTTTTATGTTTCATCTCAAAATGTATTATCTCGAGGTATTTTATCTCAAAATATATCATCTCTAAATACACCACCCCAAAATACATCACCACAAGATATATGGTACACTTATGAAGAACCTATAGAAGGTCTAAAACGATATAGTACTCATGCACTTTCAGAAGGTATTTTGATGATTTGGATGGCCTTTGAAGTTAAAGAAGATCCATCATGCATGTTACCTTATTTTCATTTACGAGTGATAGAAAGAACAGGACGAATAACATATATAGACCTTAATTATACTTTTCCTCCAGAAGCAGTTTGCCCTGTTAATATGATTTTTATGCCCTTAAGTTATAATTATATAATGATAATTTATGTTAGATCCAACAATGGTGTTAAGGGAAAGTATGGCTTGATAATTAATTATGACAGTGAGATTAAAAGGTAAGTTTAGATGTTGGAATATTCTCATTTATAAAGGTCAATAATAATTTTTTTATTTTTTTAGTGAAATCTATTTGGGAAGTGTTAATGATCATATTATAAGTAGTGTAATATCAGAAAAAGGTTTTATTCGTATTGAAGATCATGGTAAAAGAGGAATAGCAGCATGGCATTGGCTTAGTGCCCCGTAAGTATTTTTACAAGTAAATACTTTTTAAATATTTCATTGTTCATTTGATTAACTTTTTCATCTTTACTTTAGAGATATTACAACAGGAAAAGTGGTGGAACTTGGAAGTGGCGAGTTTAGTGTACCAAACCTATTATCATATACTTTTGTAAATAGTTTTAATTTTAAATTAATTGATGGAGGGTTTGGATATGCATATATTCTAAAATATAATGAAATGGGATCATCGATATCAAATGATCCAAATATTCAATACTGGAAAATTTATATTTCATTTTTAAGAGAGGGAACATATTCACCTACAACACCTTCTCTTGTCTATCAAACTACTACAAAATTAAATAGTATAGCATTTAAATCATGTTTTTACAACAATGATGGAGGATATATATGTATTGTATCATTAAATAATACAATTACAAATAAGGATCAATCAAGGACTGAAGTGAATTATTATCAGTTAGAATTTTTAACAACTGGATCCTTTGTACAATTTGGTGCAGTCCCTAAAGTAATAAGTAATGCAGACGATTTTGATTTGATAAGTTTAATTTATGGAGGATTTCTTGTGGAAAAATATTATACAAATACAACTGCAAAGAACTTTTATATTTTAGATAATAATGGAAATTATAAATCAGGGGGATCTTTTGGCCCAGAGTTTGTTCATTATAATATGTTCACAAGAAATGGTACTTTATTAGGAATAAAGGAACAAACTGGTAATAAATTAGAAATTTTATTGAAACCTTTACTAAGATTAAATAATTATGGTAAGTTTTTAATTTATTTTTTACTTTTTATTTTTATTTTTTTTTTTTTTAATAAAAAAATTTTTTAATTTATAGGAGCTGAATATGATAATCCTGCAATTGAGTCAACAAAACCAGCTATCCATGAATTCATTGATTCTTCAATCAATGAAATTACAATTAAATATAGCATTCCAGTGAGATTGTCAACTGCAAATATTTCGATATTTCAACTAAATGGTGACCTATACGAACCAAATCTATTGCGACAAACAATCTCAGGAGATTCCAAACTATGTACTGTTGGAAGTGATAACCACACTGTACACATTCCAATTTTTAGTAGTACTTTTAATCAGCAAAATTCTTCTTATCATGTGGTGATTGATAATAATTTTGTCATTTCTCAAGAAAGAAATGAACCTTTAATAGGAACTAATGAGAAAGTTTGGATGTTTTCAACAAGTAATATACATATTTTTTTAATTTTTAATTTTTTAATTTCTTACTGGTCAAATAGAAATATTTATATTTTTTTATTATATTTAGAACCATTTAAGACAGGAAAACATTCAGAGTCAATTACAGGGTTACTTCGATTGAATGAAGAAGGGAGTTCAAAATTTCTTCAAACAAATCAGTCGGAGTTTTTCAATAATATCATTCAAGCATTTTCCAAAATAATCCCAGTAGATGAACAAAGGATAACAACAAATGGTAAATGGCAAAATGACTCCACTTTCCCCAAACAAGTGTTGTTATCATTTACTATAAATGAAGCTAAAAGTGCCATGGAACCAAGTTCCAAAACAATCTTTGATAATTTGGGCACTTTGATTAAAAGAAAAGGATTTACTGCACTTTCTAATAATGAATATACTTCATTAATTGATGAAAGTGCATCCTTTACAATGACCAGTAAGTGTTGTTCATTAAATATATTTGATATTTGTAAATAATTAATATTTCATTAAATTTTTAATTCTATTATTTTACAGGTTATTTTGGAAAATTTTTGCCACTGATTATAATATATTTAATAAGTATAATAATATTAATAATATTATATTTTTTGGCACGTCGGAAGAACCCTGAAGGAAGGAACATGGCCATATTTGAGATTGCATTAATAGTGCAGGATTTTGCTGTGGATTTAACATTCACATTATTAAGGGTTAATAATACTCCACATTTAGTGATTCCAAAGTAAGAAATTTTGTTTAATGTTATGTTAATTTTATTATTTTAAAAATTAATTTAATTAATTAATAATTTTCTTATTTATTATTATTTAGTATGGTGTTCCTCATTGTACCACATGTAGTCAATTTCTTATTGGCTATAAATATTTTTTTGTCTGAAGTAGCCACAAATCCAATGTTCTATACTTGGTTTTCAGAGCTTCCAACACTATTGTCAATTTGTACAATATTTTCAGCCATTGATGTACTAGCAATAAATACTTTGACATCAAATTTATTTGGTCTCAAAGTATTTTCAGCCCCATTGTCACAAAGATCAAGAAATATTATACTTTGGGGTAGTTTCATAAATATTTTTGCTGAAGATATACCACAATTGATTATACAGATATTATACTTTAATAGTGTTGTGACGTATGATCTTATTCCATCACTTGTACTTATATCTGGTGGATTAGTTATAATGAATAAACTAATTTTAAGATCATTTCATATGTTAATAAGATGGTGTCATCGGCATGATGAAATTATAGATTTTAATAGAAATAGACATTTATCAGCCGGTTCTATAAGATCAATTAGGTCAAATGTTTAGCATTTTACTAAAGATTTTTATGTGTAAATTATGATATTATTTTTACCATCAATTTAATAAAAATATAATACTTCAGACTGCACCATAAAATGTATTTGTTTTTTTTTTGGAACATCATTTATTGTATGAATATGAAAAAGATGATTATCTTTAATTTCTCTGACCCAACAATAAATTTTTTTCTTTTTGGTCAATAAGAGCTTCATATTGTGTGATTTTTATATGACAATCTTACAATCCATATGGACTTACTTGAACATTTGGATGTGGAAGTCTATACTCACGAAGATGTACTTGAACTTAATATTAGATATGAGATTTTTGAAATCTCTGAGAGAAAATCAAGGGCAGCAAAATTGTCGTATTTGTCATATAAGCAGAAGATGACAAGTTTCGGTCATTCCTGTTTTAGTTTTACAATAATTTTTATTGATAATTTTTAGAACAAAGAGTATGAGCCATTAGTGCTGCTAGTGTGCTTGAACAATCTCTTCTAATACTCCATCAATGATAATTGATAAATTTTAGTTAATCAGCGTAACCTTATCTGTTATGGAAAAAAAATGTTTAAAATGTTTTGGACCTCCAGATTTTATTCATTGAAATTGAAACTCATTTAATCTTTCATGACCGATTCATATTACTGTAATTAAAATTGAAAAGAATAACATACAAAAAAATTTCAAGATTATCCTTTACGTTAAATGATATTCATTAGTTTGTTCAGTATTCAAAAAATTGGAATGAGATTAATGAGATTATATTTAAACATATTAAATAATTTTCGAAAATATTCAATCACGAGAATTTATATTATGGTGTTTATGGTGTGAATATATTTTATTTATTTTTTTTCTTTTTCAGCTTTATTTAAATTCTAAATAGTACGATTTTTTGGTAAATAGGAAAAAGTAAGTTATTGTTTCTGTTATTCTTTTTTAATTTAATAAGATTATTCTAATAAATAAATAATTGAAATATACATGTAATCAATTGATTAGAATAATTAGAATATAACAAATATATCTAATAGAACATAGTTTTATAAGCTTTATTAAAACTCATCGCTATTAATTTTCCCTACACAATTTAAAACACTTCACTTTCTTCTATATCAAAGAAGCCTTCAGTAATTCTAATCGGTTTTTCATAATACTTTTTTTTTTTACTACCACAAATGTTAACTTTTTCCAATTACTATTGTAACCCATAAAGTAAGATCACCACCACCACCGAAATAAGAATTATTTATTATGGCGTAATTCCCATTCGTTACACGACTTAAAATATAATAAAATTATCTTCATTAGTGCCTAAACAACCATCTGATTTCCATACATTACTCCAAGAATTTCGTCACTGTCTTTCACTCTAACACATTTTACTGTGCAAGGTTTATTATTGCAAATTTGATGAAATTTATCTTGTGAATGTCCGTCACGAGATGCGCGAAAGAATAATTTAAATTCATACGAAGAAGCCAACTTATCCGTGATTTCTAATCTATCGATCCATTTTAAGATTAATTCAATATGTTGATAAGTTATAATTTTTGAATCAATAGTTCTCGTATTTTCTTTAATTATACCATATTCCGATTTATCAACTGATTTGCTATTAGGATCTGAAAGACTTAAAAAAGCTCTTAATAAATCTTTATATAAATCTTTGGGAAATATTTTTCATAAGTTAATAATACATTTTCTAAAATTCTTTAGAAGTTAAATTGTAAAATTAATAAATGGAATACATCCTTGTAAGGTATTCTTTAAACTTTTGAAATCATCTTTTGAAAGTTTATAGGGTCAGAGGGAAGGTCGGAATTTTGAGCAAGACCCCATTTAAGAACATATTCCCAAATTTGAATTTCACTCATTTGACGATTATCACTTTGAATAATTGTAAGTTTGTAACTAAAAGTTTTTCTGGGATTGAAGAAAATTTATAGAATTAAATATCTTATCTGACTCCTTTAGAAATTAAATCGGTACAATAATTTTGAAGTTCCAAGAAGGAATCATTCTCAAAGATTGTTTGATATATCAAATTAAAATTTTGTCCATCCAATTTGTTTTACTTTCGATCAAATAGAATTGTAGATATATGATTAATTCTTGAAGATTAAGTACGCTAGCAGCAACTAAAACTTTAATTAGGAAAGAAAGTTTTCCACCGTATATATACCTGTAAATACTAAAGAAATCTTCTTAAATTAAATGTTATTAAAATAAAATTTATTTAACCGTCTTTAAAAAAATTATAATACCTTAAAATTATTTAAAAATTTCTGGTAAAAATATTTGGTAATTTAATACGAGACAAAGTTCCATCACTTTCTTTTTATTCGTTGATAGAATTCTTCGCAAGTAAAGGGAACGATAATATAAAATAACCATGTGAGCACGGAAGACTTTTACGTAAAGGTCATTACCAACTTCAATAGTAATATCGCATAATATTCTTCATCATTTAAAATTTCAAGTAAATTTTGAGATAATTTTGGTAAAAGTTTTTGTCATCCATTTTTTATAAATTTTAACGTTAGCGAAAAGAAAAGTATTAATCCAAATGCGTAAATGTTCGCCATTGTATTCTCTGAAAGTGTGCAACATAATATTATATACTAAATTATGGACTCAAATAAATATGGTTAAAATCTCGTGTAATTCGTGTGTAACAAAGAATATATATTTATCGTATAAATAAAAGTGGAATGAAGGCTAGAATGAGAAATTTCTTGCCCAATTAGCAGAGCTTGATAAAATCTCGAATAACATTTATCGTTTATCACACGTATAACGTATTGTTACGCCAATAATTTTTTTTATTTCCTTCATAATTTTTTTGTAATTGATAAAGTATTAATAATAATTGCATTGTCTGATACAATACAATAATTTTAAATCCTCGAATGATATGTTAAATGAAGAATTAAATAATGAAAATCACAGACGGTATAAAAAAAGATAATTGTCACATGTACAAGATATTTATGAGATTAAGTGCAGTAATAACTAATAAGTTTTATAATGTTAAATATAGTATTACTAATAATACAAATTGAAAATAATATGACATAAAATTTGGTATTATCATCCTTTGCCCATAATCAGTATCGATAAATAAAGAAATTTTTTGAATATATCGAGTAAAATCTTTTTGAACAAAATAATCAATATGGAATTAATAAAAAAAATTTCAGACATTAAAATCATTAAAATTGATTTTTAGTAGCCAATCAATTCTTTGACAAGTTCGTAATTTTTTTTTTTTTGAAATATCATAAATATTATGTAACGTAAATATTCTTTATTTAAATAAAGAAAACGAGTTTTTCATCCCAAAATTAGATTTTTAGGTGATAGTGGTAATTGTACCTCTTCCGTCCAAAAAAAGAAAAAAAAATACAAGAGAATTTTCTTATTTCCACGAGGCACGAGATTATAAAATTTCATTTTTTATTTTATTCGTATCCACTAATTTGAAAACCGTAATAATTAAATGTGAAAAAATTAAAGATATTATTAACTTATTTAAAGAATCTAAAATAGTTTATCCAATCTTTTTTTTATTCTTTAATAGATTTACACATCGTCATGTTCCTTTTATTTATAGAAAATATAATAATTTATAAATTTCATAAATTCTATAAGATTTTAAATTCGGTGGGGAAAATTTTATATTAATCATATATTTTTATTCATAAAATTTTTTCTATCTGTTGTTATATAAAAAAAAGTATAATCACTGAATCAGACAATATTTATTTTGGCGTAAGTAAAAGTGTCTCAAGATTTTAATAACCAAGTTAGTATTGAACAATAAGTATTAATGATGATAGTAGGTCAAAGTAAAATTACGTTACCGTAACACGTTATAATAGTTTTTTTTTAAAAAATGTAAATGTGCCATAATTCAGGTCATTTGAACCACTTCCGAGATTTTGATGATAATAACAATGACTTATAAAATGTGAGAAATTTGAGAATTATTACTTACCACAATTGCAATGAGCGTAGCATTTTCCGCATTTTTCCGCAAGCTTCTTTATTTCTTATGGCGCCTTCACCAAACCTCACGATACAGTGACAACTATCTCCATGCGTTTTTCCAGTATTTCCACAGCAATAGCAGCCTAATAATAAATAATAAATAAATTTTAATTAGTTTATAGTCTACGTATAGGAGAATATTGGGCAAGTTAGAACTCCTATCAAAATCTCAAGTGATTCGACGACCAATTTTACTCACACATTATTTACATCTACCTTTTGTAGAACACTGCCGCTTTAAATATTATTTTTCAGATATGAGATTAGATTTGTACAATTATTTAAAACGAAAATGATCTGCTGATGTCATGATTCATTTGAATATCAAAGCCACATTCCTTTAGCGGTTAATCCACTCTTGAAAAACCTCACAGGCATGTGTGTTCTTGTCTCATTTCTATTCATGTAATAACAATTTAAATAATATTATTTTATCTAATCTTTATTAACAGTAAACGCCCGATATAATGAACTTTTTTTTGGAAAAATTCGTATTTGCGCCTATTCATCAATTGTTACAAGAGAAAAATATTTACAACTCAGTTAATTTAAATAGTCCACAAAAAAAATTTTTTCTTTTTTCTTAAAAAAAAAAGTTGTCATGTATTCCGTACGTCCGGCGCTTGCCAGACATTATAGGAAGTTTCTTTTTTATGGGGAATGCTCTAATAACGTTTGTTCTCAACATATTGAATTATTTAAACGATCAAAATTATAATTTATATCTTTTTTATTTGTCCTTTTATCATCTGTTGCATTAAATTACAGTTCCATTTACCACTTGAGTTAAACCAGTTATGGGAGTCCAATTGAAAAAATTTGGACTATTGGACTTGGACTAATTGGAGATAGTCCATTCCAAGTCCAATTAGACTCTTATAGTCCCAGTACTTTTGAGTTAATTCATTAATATTATTAATCCAACAATTTTATTTCAAGCTTAATAATTTTTGTAAATAGTAATTATTTTTGATTCTTCTAAATCTTCGAAATAAATTGTTATATATGATAATATAAAAGTGACAATTTATCCAATAAAATTTGGATTTGGACTTTATCAAAGTCCAATAGTTCAATTGTCCAATTGTTTAATTGTTCATCAAAAAGTCATCATTACAACCTTCTTATATGGCACCAGAGATTTTTCAAGGAAAAAAATATATTAAAGCTTCAGATATATATAGTTTTGGAATGATTATGTGGGAGTTTATGACAGGTAGAAGACCTTTTTGGGATCAAAATCATGATACAGAGCTTATTATTGATATAAGTGATGGTTTATGACCACCAATTGTCACAAATGCACCCGAAGGATTTATTGAATTGATGAAAGAATGCTGGAATTCTGATCCAGATAAAAGATCAACAGCTACTGATGTATATACTAGAATTAAAAAAATGTGTGAAAATGAAAGGAAAAGTTATGTTAATAAATATCCAACTAAAATTATAGAATCATCAGATATTGGACCTATAACAACAAATAATCCAGGTGCTATTTATAGAACTTTACAGAAACCCATGAAATCGTGGCTATGTAGTAGCCATGCTGCCGCCACTTAATGTAGTAGGCGTACGGCTACTCTATGTTAATTCTAACGCAATTGTATGTATTTAATATAGAAAATATATAGTAAATTATAGTCGTAGTATAGAAATAGTATTGCTAATACAAAGAAACTATATAAATGTTAGCAAGAATCTGTATAAATGATTTAAAGTAATCGTATGTATGATTTGCATTAAACGTGTAGTAAATTTATAGAAAATTTGTATTAACTTTATAATAAATATGTAGCAAATTGCAGTAAACATATAGTAAATTCATAGTAGATACATAATAAATTCATAGTAAATACAAAATAAATATACAGTAAATTCATAGTAAATACATAATAAATATATAGTAAATTCATAGTAAATGTGCTTCCTCTGTATACATAAGTCCCAAAAAATCGTCAAATATGGCACAGCAAAAATGACCTTAATCGCGCTAAGTTCTATAAATGAGACCTGGGAAATAAAGGATGATATCCTAGCTGGCTGACGGAGATGACCTACCCTTTCATCAAACGGTACTGATCGTAGGAAGATTTGATGCACTAGTTGAAGTTAATAGTGAGTGGATTAGTAATGAATGGCAAATATGAGGTGTTTAGGAGATAGATGTTAGCGGTGATATATGTACTCTCTATATAGTTGTCTTAATGTTAGAAAAATTTATCATGGGTGAAAAATAACGCCATACCAAATAATAAATTGAACCGTGCCGGTACTGTGTGATTGAGGAATCCGGATTGCCTATCAGTTTGCATGTGATGCATTTTCTACGACATTGTGTACGAAGAAATAGTAGAGAAGTTAGGAGTAGTACATAAAGTTTCATCCCGCAAACAACGTATATACCAAACGATTCATGCAACGATCACATTTTCAGAAGATTACGATAAAAGTTTACGAATGGATCTTTCTTATGTGACGGAAATTGTGGAGCTTTATAGATCTCCTTGAACGTACGAAATGTTCTCAAGCCTCTTAACGTAATTCTCTAATACTTGCGGAAATATGATATCATCTTCCATTCTTTTCCGAATTTGATTATCTTTGTGAAATCGATGTGTATTTCCTTTCTATCCCTGCATCCATTCCATTTCACAATGCCACCTTATTCTTTTTCTGGAGTTAATGTTCGTATTAGTTGCTACCGGTCACGTTCTGTCCTGTCTTTCACCGTAGACTTCCATCATACAATCTAACCCTATATACACAAGATAAAGAGAGAAAAACAAAAGAGGAGGATAAAAACTATGGATCTGAGGGCAACGTCAAGTTCAGCAGAAGTTAGCTCTAGGACTATTTTTCCGCCAATCACGCCAATCACATCACCAATGAAGATGGACCCAGCCATGCCAAAGTCTCTGATGCTGGAAGAAGTAGTGGATATTATTAACGAGGTTTGCCGACACAGAATCTACGGAGTACCACTAGATATGGTGATTTATTCTGCAATATCGTACAAAATGGTGAAATTTGGTGAAGGTGAACGTTTTTACCGAGGTGTCAATGTAATAGAGATAGAATAACGGAATTGTTGATGGAAGAACATACAATAGCGTATGAAAAAAGTAAGAAAATATTATTCCGTTTTCAAGGGATAACATTCGAATTATGTCATTGAATTCAACAAACTCAACAATGACTCCGAAGCACGGTTGAAGCGCGATGAAGACGGAAAGAGAAAAGGACGAATTGAAGTCCAGGAAAAACTAATAATAGATGTAAGTTTCATAAGTTTGCGAAAGGAGATAAGTATTTGTAGGATTCAGGTAATTTAATTTACGTACCGAAGTTCAGTTTTGAGAAAAAAGATTCTGGTCTCAAATGTAAATTTACAGTTTGTTTCCTTATATTCCTATTTTTTTATATGTTTTTTTTGTCTCATTTTATATTTCCAAATCTTGTAAGTGGCCTAGCGGGCTCTGGTCGTTAAAAAAAAAAAAATTTACAAAATGAGAAGTGAAACGTTAATAACGATCACTGAAAGTAAAATAAATCGAAATAAATCTAAATTAATAAAGAGAAATCATTGGATTATTATTACAGTAATTAATCAGATAAAATTTTTGTTAATTGGTTTCTTTGTTTGTTTTGAATACTTTGACTTTTCGAACGAATCTGAATTTTGTGAAGATTCCAACTGACGATCAAGGGAGATTCATAAAACGGAAATAAATAAAATAAGAAAGAATAAGAGGACGTATTTCTTTTACCTTTAAAAGGATGTTACCTGAAGTAAGAAAAGATAAGAAAAGTAAATTAGGGTATTAAAGAAATNTCGAAATAAATCTAAATTAATAAAGAGAAATCATTGGATTATTATTACAGTAATTAATCAGATAAAATTTTTGTTAATTGGTTTCTTTGTTTGTTTCGAATACTTTGACTTTTCAAACGAATCTGAATTTTGTGAAGATTCCAACCGACGATCAAGGGAGATTCATAAAACGGAAATAAATAAAATAAGAAAGAATAAGAGGACGTATTTCTTTTACCTTTAAAAGGATGCTACCTGAAGTAAGAAAAGATAAGAAAAGTAAATTAGTGTATTAAAGAAATGATAGAAATGAAATGAACAAAAAAAAATATATTATATTACATGAGTATATTTAAATAGCTTTAAAAAAGAAATCATTTCTTAAATAACACTTATTTTCCAAATTATGATTATCCTTGCATCTCGAATTACAATCGTGTACAAAATGCACCTTTTGAACATTTTCTACGACCGTTAACGGAAAAATATTGTGATAAAAATCGTCATGCCGAAGAATATAGATCGGACAACCCAATTTGTCATGAATTTTGTGAGTATCTTCGAACCAATCGACATAAATGAACGGATACAAATATCCGTCATTGCTCTTGTGTTTGAAGATAGCTCTTATGACTGCGAAACTTTCGCCATAATCGGCCACTTGGATCGTTACTATATCACCTGTGTTCAAATGGCACCGATTCTCGGTATTATGTATATCTTGAATATAAGAGGCGCCTTCATAAAAATTACATTTCTTGTTGATTAGTGATGCGTGGTATCTGAAACTTTCGTATGCAAGAACTAGGTCAGTTCTAAATGATACTGTATCGATTCTAATATTTGTGTTGCGAACTGACACTGGCTTTCTTAGAATTATATTACGAAACTGACTAGACTGTGAACAAACTATTAAAAATGTTAGCAAGTAATCATTTTAACTATTTATAATAAATATGTTATTACCTTCTAATTTCTCGTTATCTGCCTCTGAACTTTCTATAATAAACCAATCTCTGAATAAGTGACTAAAGTCTTGAGATATATTTATGAATTCAACGCTATGTCGTAAGTTTCGAGGGTCGATTCTACCATCTGCAAGATGCTGAATGGCTTGCAAAGTCGTATAATGTTTTACTAAGTCAAATTCAATGTTCTTGCAATTGGTATGCGGGACTTTATTTTTTAAGATACGATGGACCATCTCCTTCGTTCCAACCGTGGTATTTACAAGAGTCCCAAAAGTTCTTGCATGCCGCAATAAATGACAACTGGCGTGAAGGTTAGGGAGGCCCACGAAGTCATCAAATAACTGCATTTGGTATAATTTAGTTAGTAGAATGAAATCAAACGCAAAAAAAGTTATTTTTTAGTTCGAAACCCTGATACAACTCTTGAGATTTACAACACAGTCACTTCTGTGGTCTCACTTTGGGCTGATAATTTCGTTTGAAATTTGACGATATCAATATAATTAATTAATATAAACTGTACTTTACCTCAACCAAAGCTTCTCGTTCTTTTTTCAAATACCTTTCAAGTTCTATATAGTCATCAATTGTTAATGAAAATTTAAATGCTAACTGAGAGCACTTTGCTACAATTGCCCAGCATTTAATGATTGTATTAATCACTTGATTGTTATTCAGTTTTGTTCGTCTCTGTAATTTGTCCATTTCTTGTTGCTTCAAACTATTATTAGTCAATGATCTATTTAATATAAATGGCATTACCATTTCCAATCGAACACGGTCCGACATCATAAAGCTTTCTAGATGACTAATAGGGTTCTGAAGCTTTGACCATTGTTTGGGGTATTCAAATGATTTCCATTCTTCAATAAAAATTTGTTCACCTTCTAGAGATAGCATAGCGGTCGTTAATTTAAGTAGTTTTAACGTCTTGCCAGCTATTATATGGTAAATATCCTGCGGTGACTGAAGGTGACGTTCCCGTTGAAGCTGATCAAGAATTGGCAAACTGGTTCGCAAACCATATTCCTTTGCAATATTATTTTGGTTTTCTAGAGTTGTGGCTGTGAAAATATTTTTGAATTGGATGTTAGTGATGTGATGATAACGGGAAATACTAGCGATATCCAATGTAGTGTCTGTTGCATTTTCTTTTGCAAGGCATGTTCTACATCCCCTTATTTCACCATTTCGTTTTACACTGGTTAGGTCATTGCCTTGAGGAAGATCTGTTTTTACGCATCCAAGACCGGCTACGATCCAACAATCCCTTCCTTGGACATTCATCAAAATTCCTTCTTCCAATTGTTTCATATCTTTAATAAAAGGACGAATGAAATCTTCGAAGCAACCGCCAAAAGGAACAAAGCCCAAGATGAAATGATTACGAAGATGTTTTCTCATTTCAAATGGCATATTCCCCAGCTGAATATAAACTCCTCCTAATGAATGATAAGTGTTCCTGTACATTCCAAAATCGTCATAATAGATATCAATAAATATCTTTAAAATTCGGAGATTGTTATACGGTGATGGTGGTGAATTTAGAGCAGAATACTCGCATGGATGCATATAATCTAATGCTACATCCCGTAATTTCCAATGGCCATTATTTTTGTATAATATTTCTTTAATAAAAAGGCCGTTAGCGATAATAGTTGAACCACGAACAATTGTAATATCAACTTTTTCAATGATCTCATAGGTATTTGCGATAATACTACCCTCTTCCAAATGCTGATCTATCAGCCACAATTGTGATTCACTTGTAATAGATCGAACATTACTATGAAAATTATTTGGTAATTCATAATAAGTACAAATCCGTTGTATTTTTATCCGAAGTTCGTCATTAATGGATACTATCGATCGTATTTGTCCAAATCTTCGTTTGCCATTTTCTTTATATATAATAAATTCGTTTGGACAATAAATTTCTAAGTACAAAGAAATATAAGATGAACTACAATGTTAACAACATTAATAATAGCAATAAATCAAGTAAATCAAAAGTACCTCTATTGATAGTTATTTTTTCTTGGCCAAACAATGGTGATTCAGCCCAGAGGTCTCCATGCCAATATTCCTTTTTTTCTTCAGCTTCTACACCCGGTCCGAAGTATAACTTGTCGTATAGTGACGGATTATTTAATATATTCTGAATGATATCACGGATCGATAAATAGTAACAAAGCTTTGTTCCTTTAGAAGTAGACGGCGTTTTCTTTGGATTTATTTTAATGGAGCGTGTTCTTATTGGCATCAATGGTAACTGATTTCTCCATTGCCGAAACCTTCTTATATTCTTTACAACGTCTTTTACTTCAAACTTTTGATGTTGTAATATTTCTACCAAATCATTATATGCGTTTGTTGCTATAAATTGATGTAAATTTATTTTAGAGTAGATCGTTAAATAACGTTCGTTATAGCAAATTTAAATAAACTTACAGATATTGTGTTTTTGTACCCAACAAAACAACAATGCAGAAGTCAAATTTTCAAAGTAGGGTGCAAAACTTCCATTTATTTTCGACATTTGGTCACTGTCTATTGATGAATCTACTATTTTTTCTTCATACTTTTTTACAAATAGAAAAGGGTCAATATTATTATAAATTACTAACAGCATCAGTTACAATAACTAGAGATGGAAAGTTTAATAATAGTTCATTTCGTAAGAACGGAATTGAACTTATTGAGCCGCCCACAACTTCAAATCCTAGTAAAAGATTACTACTTACATTATCGTTATTATCAATAATATTATCGCTATCATCGTAATAAACTTTTTCGTTATTGTTATCATCTTCTTCACCATAGTTATCATCCTCTTTTTCAATATAGTTATCATTAGTTTCCTCACCATAGTCATCAGTTTTCTCACTATAGTCATCAGCTTCCTCACTATAGTTATCATTGTCTTCTTCGCCAATGTAGTTATCTGCTTCGCTGTAGTGTTTGCTGTAGTGATCATTGTCTTCTTCGATGCTAACATCATCATCATTGTGGTAATTATCACTTTCAACCTCCATTTTATCTTGCAATTCAGCTTCACTACCTTCCTTATTATTTGCATTAAAAACCAGTATAAAAAACATTAGAAGTATAATAAGCATAATAGAATAATATTATCAGAATCATAATGTTGGTCAGAATTTGTAAAACATAATTTTAGCCATAATTTGCAGATAATATTGACTAAACTTGGACACTTACACGAACCAAGATGTCTATGTCTTTGAAGAATATTACGTCCTGAAAAGTTTATACTTTCGCGCAAAGAGAATGGCTTAGTTATTGAAAGATGACTTTTACGCATTTTCAATTATACAAAGTTTAAAAAAGAAGTAATTATATGAGGTTTCGCTATATACAACGTTAAATAGTTTATAGTTAACTATCGTTATAATATATATATGTATGTTCGAAGAAAACTTTCGTTATTTTTGATTCAATAAAGATAGTCTTGATAATTTTTACATTTGATAGTGAATTTAAATAAAAATAAAATAAAATAAAAAGAATGTTTTTTTTCGATTTCATAAAAAGATATGAAACTTTTCTAATTTTGATTAATAATATTTTAATTCATACATATATAATTGCGTAAGGGAGAAGGCCTTATTTAATCAATCAGTAAAACAGTGCTATTACAATAAAAGCGTAAAAGTGGGCATAGCGTAAGGGCGAACTCTTTATTTTAATCAATCAGTGTTACAATAGAAGCGCAAGGGCGAAAAGGCGAAGTAATTAATCAGTGTCACAATAGGAGTGAATGGCAAAAGGCGAAGTAATTAATCAGTGTTACAATAGGAGTGCAATGGCGAAAAGGAGAAGTAATTAATCAGCATTACGCAAGGGTAAAAAGGTGAAGTAATTAATCAGTATTAGTACAATAGAAGCGTAGGGCGAAGAATCAATCAATGTGAAAAGGACGAAGGCTTTTTATTAATCATTTTTATTTTGCTCATATCATGAAAAAATTGGAAAATTCTTTCTTGTATATATTATCGAAGTTTATTGTTAGATTTATATGTATAAAAGTTTAATTGTTGACATATGCACGTCAAAGCTTATTTATTGATATATAGAGTTTAGACTTTAGACTTTTCTTTATATAAGCTTAAATATACTAAAGTTTAAATTATTCGTTTAAATAAACTTTTTGACCTTTCCTTATAGCTTAAATAGGCTTTTTATATTTTTTCCCATATAACTAATAAACTTTATTTTTATCTATCAATAAAAAAAAAAATATTTCAAATTTCGTGACTACAATACTTTTTATTTTAAGAATTTCTTTCGAATATTTATTTAAATTTATAATTTAAAAATGACAAGATTGCGAAAATTTCAAAAAAATACTGTGCAAAATGAAACGGAAGCTACGAGTAAGCATTTTTTTAGATATATTATAATATTATTGCAATTTTTTATTTATTTTAATATAATCAGGGGGTAGGAAAGATGGCGGTGGACAAGGTCGTGGACGTGGTCGTGGTCGTGGTCGTGGTCGTGGAAGTAAAAATCAGTCTATTGAATCTTCCAATGCAGGTAACGATTTTATACGTATTTTTTCTTATTTTGGCGATTTCTCTCATTTTCTAATTTGCATCTATTTTAACCAGGTGATCGTGTTCGAAGTAACAAAAAACGAGCAATTGAACGTGATATTCAAATCCAAGAACATGAAACCGAAGCTGGCAATGAATTTTTGAAATTAACTATTATTTTATTAGCAATTTTTCAAATACTGGTTTAATGTATATCATAATTAGGTCGTAGTGAAGCACACGAAGCACAATCATCGAAATCAAGTCTTAATGTTATTACTATTTCTGAAGATGAACCAGAATCAGCGCTCTATGATGATGCACCCGATGATTTTAGTGTTTCAGAACAACCGCAACTCAAGGACAAGCCTTTTAAATTAGATTGTAGCGCAATCATTGATAACTCCACAAAGATTTATGAAGACAGTCGTGAAATAGAATCAAGTCGATCGATAAATAAAAAACGGGTTTTACCTACAAGTTCTAAAAATAAACGCCAACGATGTCAGAACAACATCACCGATTTACTTGAAGTCTCAGAAAGTGACGGTGATGGTGATAATATAGAAGATAGCGGTGAATCTTCCAAAAGTTCAGATGAGGACTATGGCGAAAGACGAAAAACCTGACAACTCGTAACATCACGTGATTCAAAAAAAGGTGATTATGTTCTTAATTACTAGTTGTTTATTACGAATATTAAATTTTAACAATTTATATAAATACACCTTTAGGCAAACCCGAAGCTTTAAAGGGGATGAAAAATGTTTTCGAAGTTTGTCAGTGGTTAATAACGGAAAGACCGGATATATTGGTAATGGCGAATCAGATGTTAAATGCCATGAATACAACGTTAGATTCACCTCTTGTAAATAATATGCCCACCTTTCCGATGGCAAAGCCGACTGCAGTTATACCAACAGACGAAGAAAAGTCACTTGCTCGACTTTGGCACGAGAAGATTAAATGTCTTTTTCTCAGATGCAGAGCACCTACAGATGAAGCTATTGAAAGCCTTGTAAAAACAATATTTAATTATGATCTCTATAGTAATAATGCTGAAGAGGTCATTTGCCATTCTAAACGGGTTCTAACAGATTTCCGCAGCAAGTTCAATAAAAAAATCGGTACAAAAGTACGTGAATTCAAAGACATACGAATAAGGGAAGGACAAACAACTATGCCAGTAAGATCAGAAATTGAGGAATTCATGACCTCCGAAGTTGTTGAGCAGATACTACACAGATATCTAAAGGGCACCAACAAGGCTAAGCTTAAAAAATATGATACTATGGACCGACTTGTTTTATTCGTTAGAGAGGCATTTAGAGTACATTATACTAAATACGATGTCAAAGCTATTAAGGAACTTGATAATATTACAATGGATTGTAAAGTACCAAGTAGATCTGGTAAAAATATTGCTTTAAAGCTTTCATTAGAATAGAATATATTTTAATTAATTAATTACAGTCTGCCCTTTTTATAGCGAATTTTGATATAACGAATAACACGATATAGCGGATCTTTAGCGTGGTACAGATTTTGACATATGAAAAAAACCTTGTCAAACCGAACTTTACTAATTAAATTTTGTACAACGTTTAACGAAATAAAGTGTGTGAACATGCTTATATAAAATGATCCTTTTTATAACGGATTTTTTTTATAACGGATTTTTTCTGATTTTTTTATGAATATACCTAAGAATTATTTTTTATAACGAATTTTTTGAATTTTTATGAATATACCGAAGAATTTTTGCGAAATGAATCTTACTATAAAGGACTATTTATCATGAAATATTTTCTCAATGTAGTAACCACACATCATAAAATTAATTTATAATGGATACTTTCATACTTCATATTTTATTTTACACTTCATTGTTACTCTGGATATTTTTTAAAAATGCCAAAAGCCAAATCTGTAAAACCTGGTAATAAACAACTTAATGGAATCCCCAGAAAACGTAAATCTCTTACAGCAGCACAAAAGAAAGAAATTTGTTTGAAAAAAATTTCTACTCCCTCCTTAAAACAAAAAGAACTAGCCAACGAATATGAGGTTAGTGAAGGAATGATCAGTGATATTTTAAAGGAAAAAGACCGTTGGCTTGTTGTAGATCTTGATTCACATCAAGCTGGATTACGACGCGAAAAAAAGATTCCTTTTCCTATCATTGAAGAGGCTTTAACTCTTTGGGTAGAAAGTGCACTTCAAGCCAGTCTTATCATCAATGATGATATTCTTTCAAGCAAGGCCTTAGAGCTTGCTTTTTTGTGTGGAGAAGATAAATTCAAAGGGTCAAATGGTTGGGTTGACAATTTCAAAAAGCGGCACAATCTTAGGCAATACAACATGCATGGAGAAGCAGCAAGTGCACCTGTTCAAGAACTTGATACAATGCATGAAGAAATTCGTAGAGTTTTAAAGAATTATGCCCCTGAAGACATCTTTAATTGTGATGAGACAGGTCTTTTTTGGAAAATGCGACCTAGTCGTACAATTTCTAATGCCCCAATTTCTGGAACAAAACAGTCAAAAGATCGTGTAACTGTTTTGCTTACTTGCAATGCAACTGGGAGTGAAAAATTATGTCCATTATTCATACACAAATATGAAAACCCTCGAGCCCTCAAAAACATCAATAAGAAAACTCTTCCAGTAGATTATCACTGGAATCCAAAAAGTTGGATGCAAGTTTCGATCTGGAACCAATATCTTAAAAAACTTGATGCTCGAATGAGAACACAAGGTCGAAATATTCTTCTTTTAGTCGACAATGCTCCAACTCATGCCCTATTTGAAACCACACGCCTTACAAATATCACGCTTGAATTTCTTCCTCCAAACACTACTGCACACCTCCAACCATGTGATCAAGGTATTATAAATAGCTTCAAGGTAAGCTTCAATTAATGAACATTCAATTCAGAATGTAGTAATGTTTTATACTTGAAATTTTAAAAATTCGTTGTTTATTTTAGGCACAATATCGAAAGCTATATTTACACAATCGAGTCAAATCATATGATAATTTTAATGAATATGGCACTGAACCCGTTGAAATTAATATTAAAAAATGCATCAAATATGTTGCACGTGCATGGGATAGTGTTACAAAAACTACCATTGAAAACTGTTGGCTAAAAGCGGATATCCTGCCTAAAGATGATGATGGAGACGAAGTTAGAGATGATGATCGTGAGCATGATGATCATGTCCATGATGACCATGACTCCAATGACCATGCCGATACTCAAATTTATCTTACACATATTAAGGAATTGGAAGAGATTCAAATGTTGATTGATAAACTTGATTTTGAAAAACCTTTTACTGCTGAAGAATTTATTCAATGTGATAGGGAAGAAATTACAACGGAAATGATATCCAATGAAGAAATTTTGAAAACCGTTCTTCCCAATAATAATCAAGAAGAGGAAGTAGAGGAGATTCCTTTACCAACCATTACTCATAATGAAGCTATTGAATTTTATGATAAGGTGATTTTATATTTGGAGCAACAGGAAGACGGTTTTGATACAAAAAAAGAAGAGTTGAAATTTGTTAAAAAGCTAAAAAAAGAAGCTTTAAAACAACGGTTTATTTCTGCAAAACAGACTAATCTTGATAGTTATATTAATATAATTGAGTAAATTTATTCGTGTAATTAAGAGGCTCAATTTTTGTTACATTTTCATAAATAATTCAGTATAATAAAATGTTGTTAAAAATTTAAAAATCGCGTAATTTATTATTTATAGTTATCTCTTAAAATAAATAATAATAAATTTTTAATGAATATTCGGTATAATATAATGAAAATTCGTTATAGTGGCATACCGATTATTCGCTATGATATACCGAATATTTCGTTATAGTGTTACCGAATTTTTGTATTACGAAGGCCTGATCGGCCCGGACACCAAATTCGTTATATCGAGGGCAGACTGTAATTCATTTATTCTTTATGAGCTGCATAATATTATATATTTCATACATTTATTTTACATATCTCTTATATCTTTTACGTTCTTAATTGAAACAATTATATTTTATCGTTCTTTTCGTCTCTTTTTTAAAAAAAACTAATGATAAGAGTAAGAAACTTAAAAATTTGGATGATTTCCGGCGAATATTTGCTCTTTAGATGAATCTAGATAGTTGAATTATTTTTTTAAAATTCAGGTCTCTTAGCGATCATATTCCTTATATTCGGCTGTAATTTTTCCGGGATCGTCTGTACGAGTCGTAAGGTGCAAATCATGATCATCGATTGATATCATGTGATTATGAACGAAAGTATTTATTTTTTCTATTTTAATTTGTTTCCTTTAACGAATGTTTACTAATTGTTCTTTATTTTTTTCTTCTTTTTAGAATACTTGCAATTTACTTAGAGTTAGGAATTTCGTTAAATATTTGTACGAAGTTTTGTTTATTGGTGTTAATGTGGGGTGTTAATGTGGGTTACTTCATAAGCTTGCTCACCAGCTGGCAGGGTGTATGAAATTTCTTTTAATTCACAAAGAAAGCCTTGCTAAAGTTATCTTTAGCGTAGGTCTAGTAATACATTGCCTTAAATAAGCGCGGCTACGAGGTTTATGAAGCCCCAACTATATGTATCGATATATCTTATGTTTAATTACAATTATAGAATTTTTATTATATCGATATATCCTATGTTTAATTACACAATTTATTTATATTTATTAATTAAATTTATAGAATTTTTATTATATCGATATATCTTATATTTAAATTTATTATTTAAATTTATAGAATTTTTATTATATATTTATTATAATGCATTTCATAATGTCTAAATTTTACAATGATTTGACTGATTCGTAATAATACTATACATTTTAATTAATACATTTTAATAATACTATATTTATTTAAATATTATTATAATAATATACATATACATTTTAATAATACTAATACATTTTATTTTATTTTCGAATATATTCATTAAAATTAATAAATGATTTATTGTCGCTATATAGAAGATATGAAGTGAAAAGCTAGAATCTATATAATTCCATAATTTTTCTAAAAAAATAATTGTATTTTTCAAAAATAAAAACGTATTTATCAAAATTAAAAAATAATTAAAGTTTCATATTACCTCCATGTAGAAAATATAAAGTAGTGAGGTAGAAACTGGACAGTCGAAACGAAAAAAATGCCACTAGCGATCGACTCTATAGTCACATGATAGTCACATGACAGAAGTGTTAAAGTCACTAAATCCGAGGTTTCAGCAAAGAAGTAGACCTTTAAGTGGTATGATTAATTCTGCAATGTCTTTATGGAGTTTAAGAAGTCAATCTGTTAACTTAGAAAAATTTAAACGAAAGTTTGAATATAATAATGATGATGGTATGTTATCAATTAAATAGTTTGTAATTTGTAATAAGAATAATAAGAATTTTAGGATGTCAATGTTTATTAACTAAAATTTATTAAGGTCAAACTGAATGCATTAATAAATTTCAGACAGAATGGAACGTTGCGAAAATTAATAGTAATGGTAAGTGTGAATCGGAAATATTTTTTTACCTCAGTTGCTAATCTCTAATCTCACGAATTTATGCTTGTAGATTCGAAATTACTTAATCTCGGGGAAGTTTTCTTCACGGGAAATAATCTTTTATATAGTCTGTTCCAACAGTGATATAGATAGACGGAAACTTTGTAGATATGTGCGGGAAAATTTATTTCAAAAATCTAGTATAATAAAAGAGTGTGGGAGTGAGATTCTCATAGTTAGCAATAGTGATAGAAATAAATTAGTTGTGGAAGTTGATGCTGGAACTCGCATTAAATGGCCTAGGATCCGCGTACTCTCTCCCTCTTTGATAACATCACATATTTCATTTGCTTCTAAAAATTATTAATAAAATATTACTCAATTTGAAATTTTTTTTTTATTGCATTATGCATTAATTACATTATTTGTACATATGTCATTTTGAAAATTTCTAGTTAACTTCTATAATTTTAATATGTGAACCAGGCACGGAGAATATGTCAGCATTTTCATGAACATAACATTTTACTGATTGAGATTGGAAGGTCACAACGTTTTTTTCGGGATGATATGAAAATATATTGCTTCCTAACACTTCATTTAATTTCTCAGTCTTATCAAAATATTTATTAAAATCTAAAAAGCTAAGCTCATTAGATTTGTTATTAGAATTCAACAAATCACCGATAATACTTTTTCCCACTTCGTAATATAGACCATTCGGAAGGAGTTCTGCAGATCGAAATGTTTTTTCAACTTTGTTTAAGACTTGTTTTTTAACGACTGCAAAAGAAATTATTAAGCAATTGATCCAGAACAAAATTGTGTAAATTTGAAAATGATGATACTACCTTCGAATTCTTGTCCTTTCAAGAAGTCATCCGCCACAGTCTTTAGCTCTATGATACGACCCCCAACTAAATCAAATAATTTTTTCACATCTACTTCCTTTATCTTGCGCTTCTTAATCAAATATTCCATCGATTCTTCCTTGCTAAGGTCACCAATTTCCATTACAGGCGTTTTTGCGCGTGACCAGGCACTGCGAGCTAAAATAAGATTTATGATCTGTAAATAATACTATTTTTTCAAGAACACAAAAAAATCATGTCAGTACTTACATTCCATTCTCTGGGGTACACTCCCTTCACTGCAGACAAATACAGCGATGTATTTTCGATCATCAGCACTGTGCTTCGCGTCATCCTGGAGAATGTCGAGGATTTTTGGATTTTTATGAACCAAGTAACTAACATTGTCGTAAACAATAACCATTGGCTTATCATGCTTGGCTTTGTACACTTCGCTAGCGTGTCTGAAGGTTTTCAAAGCTTTTGCACATTCAGAAATCTTAGGTGTATCTACTACAAAGAAAATAGGAATCAAAATGGTTATTATTAACAATAAAGTAATGATGGAAACTTACCATCCGATTTGATTTTACGCAACCATTGTCCAGTAATAGAAATTTTCTCAGATGCGAAATTAATTGCTTTTCCAAAGGCCTTATCTAATCCACTTAAATCCGCGGGGATATCAACATATATAACGCCACACCCAACCTCACTTGAAGCGATCCTGGCTAATGTAGTTTTTCCTGTCCCGTGTTCACCACAGATCAAATGATAATACGAATGATTTTTATGTGGTTGAAGAATTTCTTTAATCCGTTCTACAACTTGAGGTCGAGAAACGAATTCATCATTTGAGATATCAATTTTAGGTTGAGTGCCCTTTTCCACGGTTTTGTTTAAAAGATTCTCATTATACAAGCTACGACAACAAGCGTATAGGACATCTCCTGATACAAAAAAGAGAAGAATAGATGCCAAAATGCCCACCGCAGAGGAAAGAAAAATAGACAAAAAAGACGTTTCGGAGATGTGGAGGGGAGGTGAAGAGTTTGTAAATGATTTCGAGGAATAAAAATAGAAAAAGAGATGCAACGTCAAAAACATAAATATAAACGTAAATATAAGTATATATTTTTTGCATCGTATTTGATTATTAATGAAGGAAGACATTAGAAACGAATATAAAAGAAGTTTGAGAGAGTTTCTTGGGAGATAAAAAAAGATCCGATAAAAGAAAAAGAAGAGAATTTGTTCCTTGTTTTGAAATCAAAAAAGTTGATCCTTTAATTTGAATCAAAAAAATTGATCCTTAATTTGATCAAAATCGGCTTATTGATACATGATACATCATTAAATTACTAGGTCAGGTGTATCATTCTGAATACATCGTTATAGACTCTTGTAGTGACAGCAAATAATAATTAATACTCAGATTGTAAATTATTTAAATTAATCAAAATTAATCAAATGACTCAAGTAAATGAGTATTTATTAAAAAAAGTTACGTGATTTTCATGTCGTACGAGTGGTCATACGATTGACCGTATTTGACAAATCAGTGGGAGCTTTTTTTCTCCAAGCCGTCGTACTATTTTCTCCGAGCATGAACCAACCGACCTATCGCAGTTTGAAAGAAATTAAGGTATGAACGAAATATATTTTCGGTTGTGGTTGTGCATTTGCAAGGAAGCGACTCGGAAGTGACTCGGAGCTCGCAAAGTTAATATCAGAAATTTCGGGGACCTTATTAGGCGGAGAACATAGACTTTTCGGTGAGTTTTAACATTGTTAATTTACTTCTGACTCTACATGTTCTATGCATAACTGACAAACATTTTATCCAGAATACCGATGTTGAGTCGGATTAGAGTTAATGTTGGGATATTGTGTTAGTATATAGATAGTAAAACAAGTTCATGTATTACCGAATCCTGTAATTGATTTTTTATATCAATAAATCAGGGATACATTTTGTGTCAGTTAATTCATGTGAATTTTTCTTGGCAAAAACCGTTACCATTGGTAACATCAAAGTCTTGGCATTTTTTTCTCTGGCTTTGAAAGACAGCATCAATGTGGGTAGGGCTATGATAGGAAGGATTAAAACCTTTTCACTTTCAACTATAACTAAGGATGACATTAAATATGTAATTGCTAAAGTGCTTCAGATATGAGATTAGATTTGTACAATTATTTAAAACGAAAATGATCTGCTAAAAGGCGTTAAGTCTGATGTCATGATTTCATTTGAATATCAAAGCCACATTCCTTTAGCGGTTAATCCACTCTTGAAAAATCCTCACAGGCATGTGTGTTCTTGTCTCATTTCTATTCATGTAATAACAATTTAAATAATATTATTTTATCTAATCTTTATTAACAGTGAACGCCCGATATAATGAACTTTTTTTTGGGAAAAATTCGTATTGCGCCTATTAATCAATTGTTACAAGAGAAAAATATTTACAACTCAGTTAATTTAAATAGTCCACAACAAAAATATTTTTTTTTTCTTAAAAAAAAAAGTTTTCATGTATTCCGTACGTCCGGCGCTTTCCGGACATTATAGGAAGTTTCTTTTTTATAGGGAATGCTCTAATAACGTTTGTTCTCAACATATTGAATTATTTAAGCGATCAAAATTATAATTTAAATCTTTTTTATCTGTCCTTTTATCATCTGTTAAAAATTATTTTAGAGAATTTTACAATTCCATTTACCACTTGAGTTAAACCAGTTATGGGAGTCCAATTGAAAAATTTGGACTATTGGACTTGGACTAATTGGAGATAGTCCATTCCAAGTCCAATTGGATTCTTATAATCCAGTACTTTTGAGTTAATTCATTAATATTATTAATCCAACAATTTTATTTCAAGCTTAATAATTTTGTAAATAAAAACAATTTGTTAATTATTTTTGATTCTTCTAAATCTTCGAAATAAATTTTTATATATGTTTATTTAGAATAATTAATAATAATATAAAAGTGACAATTTATCCAATAAAATTTGGATTTGGACTTTATCAAAGTCCAATAGTTCAATTGTCTAATTGTTCAAAGTCATCATTACAACCTTTTAATTAAATCCGTCAAGAAATAAATAATCAGGTTATTCATAATTCAAAATTATTCTTCCTTTTATCCTTCATCCCAATCCTTGTTGTTTCGTACTATAAATAACTGAATTTAATAAGGAAGATCGTTACTGACGAATAATTAATTCAACAAATTATATTTTAAAAATTTTTTAATGTCGAATTTAAGAATTTCTATAAATTCTTCTTTAACATTCTTTTTTAGATTTATTTTTATCAAATTTTACTTAAATAAATATTAATGTTTCGTTATACTGTAAATCTGTAATTGCAGAAAAAACTGAAAACGTGATAGCTAATTAATGATTTCGAAATACAAACTGTTTAAAAAAGGTTGTTAACTTGATATTAATAATTTTACAGGAAAATTGTATAAAAAAATTTGTCTGACGTTTGGGTTAATTTGAATTGTGTAACTTGAAATCCCATGCCATATAATTAAACCCCGTGACATGCCTCTGCCTAATTTATTTATGGTTAAAAACTATTCGATGAAAAATGTTTTTTCCCCGTTTAGGTTTAATTTTTTCCCCAAACTGAAAAATTATTTTTTAAATAATCCCATTGTTTCGATCTTTTTAAGACCGATTTTTTTTTATATTGATCTTTTTTTTTAGACCGTATTGTTATTTTTTTTAAAAAAAAAAATTTTCACTCTTTTTTGGACCGAATTATTGTCCTTTTTTTTCAGGAATTTTTTTCAGTACTTTTTTTTTTTTTTTTTTTTTTTTTTTTTTTTTTTTT